ATTTAAAAATTGTTAAAGTTGAAATTTATAATAAAAACATAGTAAGTGGACTCAAACTTTTGGAAGCAACCGTATTTATAAAAATGGATTACTTGGATTTTCTAATCTCTTGAACTTTCTGGACTACTTGATTTATAATAAATTATGACATGTGCTATATTTGATAAAATAATTTATACTAATTAAGTATCAATAAAAATATCAAAAAATATCAAAGAAATAATTATAAATAAATATATAAAATAGAAATAGAATAAATATAATAACTAAAAATAATTATCCAATAGTATTAAAGGTTATTTTTATCACAATATAGTTTTTAAAATTTGATCTAAAATATTTATTTAGAAAGATGAGTTAGTTATTTTGTAAAAGTCCATAATTTATTATAAAATTTGTTTTAATTTCTCAATAAAAATAAACTATTATAACATAATTATAAATTAAAAAAAAAAAGGATCAAAAGAATTAAAGGATTTTTAATTGTATTTATTCTTTCAATTAAATTATTTATATTCTAATTTTATAAAATTAATAATATATTATAAATAATAAATCATTAAATAATAAAAAATAATAATATTTATTTAAGTTGAGATTTTTAAATAAATTTACAATAACAAAAATTTTTTATTTTAATTAAACTATAATAATAAGTCTTATTGAATTAATATAGTATAAAGGATTTCTAATAAATAAAAATTTAATTAATAGTACTATTAAAAAATTAAATTAAATAAGTTTTTTAAATAATTAAAATAAGAATATTTTAATTAATTATTTCTTCTTATCTTTTTTTAAATATATCTTTTATATAATTTATAGCTTAATAAAATAATTGATAGTAATGATTTATCAGTAATAATATAAAAATTAAATTAATAATATATGTTGAAGTTTAATAAACTATATGACTAATTCAACAAAAGATTTTTTTTTAAAGTCAATAAATGTAAGAACATTGATTGTATGTAATCGCTAGAACATAAAGCTAAATTTATTTTCATTAAAAATTACTTTTTTGTTTTATGAAATAGTAGCATGCATATATTCGCAAATATAGAAGCATAATTTCGGCAAGGCTTTTTAATATTGACAAATTAATTTTTTTTTTAATCTTCATTGTGATCACAAGACAGTCACAATACCAAAGGTACCCATACCAACCAAATAAGCTTTTCCGAAAAGCAACAATAGGAATCACGGCCAATCAATTGATTGTGGCTACTATTGAAAAGATTTGTTCTTTATCATTCTACTCAAGTAGCGAGAGGTTCCATGTGACTCTCTCTTGTCTCTAATAAATATTTTTTTATAGTCGATAGAAGATACGACGTCAATAATTTTTAAAGATATAGATAACCATAACATCTTTGGTCACCTTTAGATATACTTAACTAAACTAATCATAGGAAATCTTTTAGCCTCGAAGATTATATATATATATATATATATATATATATATATATATATAAATTTATTTTTTTTTTTTTTTAAAAACTTTTTTCGATAATGCCAATGAGCAATATTACACTTCAAGAAGATCAAACGCCTTCCACTCCGGAGGAAATGTCGCAAGATAACACTTCAACTTTGCTGGATCCAAAGCTAGAGGTCATAGACGCAAACTCTCCACTTTTCTTTGTACCTCAGTCTCTTAATAATCGGCCCTCGGAAACCGATTCACAAGGTTCACACATTCACCAGCCTGTTTTTAACTCCATACCGCTAGGTGACATGCACCAACAAATTAACACAGTGGGTGTTCTTCAACTCGCGAAGGACATTTTTTTTATTTATTGGGGTTACTAATACGTCATTCTTATTGCCACCAACATATTTATAGTTTATGCCTCCCACGTTTTCAACGGGCATAACCAATTTTAATCAGAGCGGCGAAAATTACATAGAGTTTATCAATGGGACGGACAACATGATGTAGGTGACATCTACCTTATTTCAGTCTAAATTTTTATGTAGTGTTAATTTTCATTTTTAAACTCAGAGACACAAATATTACGTCAACAACCACCGATCGCCAATGTCAGATCCAGGATATCAATGATAAAGGGTATACTCTCCTGACCAATGATGTTGAATATTTGACAGCTTTTTTTTTTTTTGTTGATCGAGATATTCACACAAATTCAAATTATAATGCATTCATCATCGAAGTCTGCAAATTCGAGTTCTCGGGGTCTCACAATCGGGTGCAAAATCTCGCGTAGAAACGCAAATAAAATTGTGCCTACAGCTTGTCACCGACAAAGGAGAAAAAGTTCCATTGTGGTCGCATTTACGCCTGCCTGAATATATGGTAGCCAAGGAGAAGCTTAAAGCGAAAAACGCTAGAAATCCTTCAGATCATGCAATGAACATTTCAGAGAAGGGTGTATTGAACCTGGAAGCAACCGTTGTTTGCGCTAGCGAGATGCCAAAAAAAGTTCTTACTTGCATCGGATGTGTGCAGCGAGAGGTACGGGTATCATTAAACCTAATAGATTTGTTGTAAAATTTTATGAGCGTCTGACGTGGTCATTTTCATAAGTTAACTAGGTTGATTGTGTCAAAAAATAATAGCGAAAAAGGTCTCAACGAAAAAAGGAAAACAAGCATTCGAAGGCCAACACAAACGCTCCCCCCTCCAGTGAAGATACCAATAAACCCATGGATTTGGACGACGAAAAGACGATGCAGCTAGAACAACGGAAGATATTATTATTTAACTGCAGTGAAATTGTTGACTTTAGTAGTGGGGATACTATTCTGCCAACACGAATAACCTGCTATTGCCGTCACCATAATGAGAAAGTTGGATTTTGGTGAGATTCTTGTCACCATTGGTTTAACTGCGTTCGTCAGTTTGATCGCATTCTCATATATACATTTGGTTTTGTAGTATATACTTTGTTATGAAAAATTACGCCGGTACTGTAATAGCCTGTGGGATGTCACCACCTATAATGATAACCGATGACCACAAATCATCTAAGACAAAAGTAGGCGTCGGACGAAAACGCCTGCGATCCGAATACGATCGTCGTCCTTCGACCGTTCCTAGCAACCTTAATAATACACTTAAAAAGCTCAATAATGAGCAAAGTGCTCGGCCATCATCATCCACCACCACATCTACCACCGAAACAAATGCACTTTCACCATTACCAATAATACCGTCGAACGCTGATTTATCCGATGCACCATCATCGCCCGTTTCCACGATTCCCCCTCAAAGCTCTAATATGTCGCTGCAGCGTCCTATAATAAAACAGGAGGAAAATTGTAACGTCATTCAACAACAATTGCAATTGCAGCCTCAACCGTCTACGTATCACCTATCTCCGCCTCCCATCTCTCCGATATCTCCTATGTCTCCGGTCACGCCTCTCACAGTCAGCATACCAAATACACCGAATATATCGCATGCTGCCATCCCCACGTCAAACTCGCAAGTGGCCTATTCATTGGCAACTATGTCGCCAACAACGATTGGCTGTTTGAGTCCCATTTATCAACACCAACAACAACTACATCAAAATATTAGTAACGCGAATCGTTTTAACATTGCAACCACTCATCAAGGCGGTGGAGGTCCCATGCGAATACACGGGTCGCATCACCACCAAAACAATGTATTAAGGAGGGCGTTGTACACTGCTGGTGGGAATGCTCAGGTAATTTATCAAAATAATGCGATCAACGGGTTCCTGCCACCAAGGATAAGCAGGTTGATTCCTTCCGAAGGACCCACTTATGGAGGTGTGGAAGTTACCGTTCTCGGGAGCAATTTTTATGGTTTGTCTAGGATCAAGCATAATTTCCATTATTTGATAAAATCTACATAGCTCACGATTTCTTATCACACTAGAGGGACTTACATGCGTATTCGGAGATGCGCCTGCCATTCCAACTCAATATTGGTCACCAAATACTTTGGTGTGTCTTCTGCCCCCTTGTTCTACTCCGGGACCTGTTGCTGTGAGTTTCAAGGAGCACCCAATAAACTTGCTAGAAATTCCTGAACAAGAAATCGTCCTTTTCTCTTATGTTGATGGTATTTTTTATTAAAATTTTGTGAATATCGAAATTTTTGTTTTTATTTGATTCCAATTTTAATCTTGATCTAGATTCTGATCGGGCTTTGATGGAATTGGCTCTCCAGGTCGTTGGCATGGGAATGACCGGGCAAATAGAAGATGCACGAAACATCGCCATGCGCATTGTAGGAAGCGCTGATAACTCATCAAGTCCCGGCGGCAGTGGTACAAACGGGAACATAAATGGAATCAATCTTTCCTCGTATGCCCGGCAAATATCAACATCCAACAATCTAGAGGAACATATAATGGCAACAATTAACTTAATGGACGCCGTCGAAACCGAATACGACAGTTTATCCCTTCGAAATCGTCAACAACATACCATGTTGCATCTGGCGGCTATGTTGGGTTACAGGAGGTTATGCGAGGTCCTTATTGATAAAGGCATCTCAGTAGATACACAGGACAAATACGGATTCACTGGTAAGTTGTTTGGCATCTGATTGATAAGTATTCTTGAATCACTAGTTTCACCTGAAATTCTATTATATTCTATTAGCTCTCCATTATGCCGCATGGACAGGAAAGATTGATATTGTTAGACTTCTCTTGATGGGTTGGCATCTTTTTTCTTTACTGTATTCATATCTCAAAATTCGCAGGGGTGAAGAGTAAAGACTATTTATTTTTTTAATTTATTTCAGCCGGTTCCAGTGATATCATTCCCAATTTTAATGAACAGCATGCTTCGGATTTGGCCATGTCAAGAAACTTTGATGAAATATTCGCTCTAATTGCCGATTATCGATTTCATGACTCTGGAGTTTCTTTGTCTCCAACTTCTTCTGAAGAACATTCCATCATTGATTCGAGTGGTGAGGATAGCTGGTATAATGACAGCGAGGAAGATTCTGATATGGATGGAGACGACCGGAATATTACACCCGCGAGTTCAGACAATCTGGGGAATGGTATCAACAATGGAGAATCCTCCGAATCCCTCGGTACCGATAGCAATGACACGCCTCAAATTTCCTGGGTGGATTCCAAAACTGCGAGCGATTTAATGCATGATAAATTCAATCAGGATGATGGAATAGTGAACGCAGTGGTGGTTGAGGACGAAAAGAAATATTTGAAGCAGCCTCTATCGGAGATAGCCACCGATCTTGCGACGGCATCTACTATTTGGCTTCAAAAAACTTTTGCGCACATGCACATGCCAATGATCAGTAAACCCTCGAATATTAACATTACACTTCCGAATATTAAAATGCCTAACTTGCAAATGCCTAATTTACAAATGCCCAATTTACAAATGCCAAACCTTCAAACCTTTTCGTCTCCCAAATTCTCCACGATGACTTTCGGTACCAATTTATCAATCCCGCGGCCTTCCATCCCGTCCATGCCATCTCTGAACATCGAATTTCCGACCTTACCAACTGTTACTTTTCCTACCATGATAATACCCGGTGGACTGTCAAGTTTCGTAAAGGATGAAAGGAATTCAACGTCGAATGAACAGATTGATTTGAAGATGGCAAGTATGACTTCCAATTCTCGAGACAATTGTCAGAAGATGCTTATTGGGCAGGGTGGCCGACAACCTTCACAATCTGCTCCGCAGGCTGGAAAGTCTAAAGAGGTTGAGCAAGATTGGTCGGGTTTCTCCCGATTTGGTTATACATGGCCATTCTATGGATCACAACCTGTTGTCCCGATGTACCCTCATCAGCCTGAGGTGCCACGGGCACCTTCACCGTCCATGAACATTTCGCGTGCTAGCCGCATGGTTGGTTATGATCTTGCTGAATTGAGTGAAGATCAACTTGCGCGATTAGAGACTCATGATGAAAAATTCAGGAAGCTGAAGAAGGATAGAATGTTATATTTATTCTGGGTTCCCACATTTTGGGGTTTGTCATTTATTCACTTTTTTTTCCTTGCATTTGATTTTCCTCATAAAGATGAATTATATCTCTGACATGCATTCGATATTTCAAGTGATGATCGCGCTGGCCATCGTCCAATACAATCCCTTCAGCATGGGCGAATTTATTGCATCCTTATTCCGATGGATAGTGGGATAGTCACAAACCAAAACAATATAAAAAATCATTAATTGCATTCAATGAATTGGGCATCTTTTTTATTTGATTTCGATTGGATACACTTCCTTTTTGTATGAATAGACTTTTCTTTATTTGAATCTACACCATTATTTGTTTATTCGGATCGGTGGTTGTTCCCTTTCTTTGAACCGTCTTGTAATTATAAATATTATCGGTATACTCTATTCTTACATGATCTTGGTATTCAACTTTTGTCCGGGCATTTTATTTGAGGATCAAAGAAAGGAGGTCAATGGTTCTGAAAATAAACATAATGATGTTATCACCTATGACAAATTCAATTGGCGCCGCATATACTGTATCTTGTACAAATATATAATAAAGTTGTGAAGACCGCTTTGGTAGAAATGATTTTTTCCATTACCTTTTTTGTTTGCTAAATGATGTGCTGAACAGAATTCGTGAACAGTAACGTGAGTGTCACGTGTTGATCTCAAAATTTATATAGGTGTGTAAAGGGAATCCTTTAATCTTTCTCTGCGTGATATCGGCTTTTTTTGTCAACAGCTTTTTTTTTTGTCAAAAGCTTTTCACAATGGTAAGCGATTATAGTTTTGTTTTTATTTATGCCATGGATGGCGAGAGCTTTTCTTTGGCGATTTGTAGATCCTGTTAGATTGGACCTTTAACATGAGCGGAGGGTGAAAAAAAAAAAAAAAAAAAAATCTAATTTAATCGATTATTGTATTAAAATCGTCATTCGCTCTTGCAAGTTTTGACTGCTTTTTCTAACATCCCATCAATCCAAACTTTAGCCGAAACAGATCAGTGATATCAAATACTTTCTCGAGATTGCCCGTAGAAAAGATGCCAAATGTAATATATATATATATATTTTTTTTTTTTGTTTTGTTTTTTTTTTTTAATTTATAAATCTTTGTCCACATGAAATTATATTTTTAATAATCTATTTTTGGTTTGAACAAATGAATCCGAACTTCTTATCATTCAACAATCTCAGCCGTTCGCATCAAGAAGAATGAGAAGAATGGCTCATCAAAAGTAAAATTCAAGCTTCGATGCTCGAGATATTTGTATACCTTTGTTATCGAAGACGCGGAAAAGGCCGAGAAACTTCAAAAATCTCTTCCACCTGGTAAATCGCCATTTCCAGAGTTATTCGTTTCATCTTGCTATCGCATTTTAATAACAAAATTCTCTTTTCCCCGTCGTTTTCTGTTTAAAACAGGTCTCACCGTCACCAATGTTCCTCCCGAAAGTTCATAAAACTAGCAATCTTTGAAAAAAAAAGTGACATTTAAAGAATAAATAATCTTCATTCATTTGTGTATAAGAAAGTAGTAGTTGCGTGCCACCTATGCTTCATTGTCGTCAACTTTGAATTTTAAAGAACTCGGACTTTTCACGTGATCGAATGTAATGTCGATCGAGATGAGGTCGTATTTTAACGTACATACACCTATTGCGCAGTCATTAAAAACTCGACGCTGCAATGGGAGAAAATTTCCAGTGGAGTAAAACTTGTGACGCGCACTCTCATCTTCATCTTCATAATGACACGAAAAACCATTCAAGGATTGGAGATTTGAAGACTTCGAGAATTTGTATGATGGGGATTCGTTATGACGACCTGGACGTTGTTTCTAAATTGTCAGTGGACTTTCCCGACAAAATCGTTCCGTCCTTTGGTAAAATAACGTCTTGAATTTCACTCTTCTCTTCTGAAAGAGATTTTTCAATAGGTTTCCTTACAATTTTATGTAAAAAAAGGTTATCATCCTTGGTTTGTACATTTATTATCGCTTGAGGAATCTAATTTAGATCCTCAAGTCCATTATCGTTCAGTTCTTAACATGAGCTCCCCAAAGAAAAACCCACCATCATCAGCAACGTCAGATAGCGATTTAGATTCGTTTATATCCTTACTTCCCCCTCCAATTCCACATTCTAGTTGGTATGGGAAACTTGAATCACTAATAGGATCCCATCCTAAAGCGCTCGTGGGTGAAGTCGGATTAGATAAATCCGCAAAGATAACCCATCCATCTTCATGTGAACTCACCCAAATACAAATATCAATTCAACATCAAATATTGATACTAGAGTTGCAACTAGATTTGGCCGCCAAGTATAAGAGAGCCGTGAGTTTGCATTGTGTGCAATCGACGGGACTAATCACTCAATTGTTGGATCGCAAGGTTGCGAATAAACAACCTCTACCACCGAGAATCTGTATGCATTCATACGGTGGGTCGGTCGATACTATCAAGGCATTAACAGAGTCACAGCCAAAGAAGAAGAAAAAACTTCAAACGCAGGTCTACTTTTCCTTCAGCATAGTCATCAACGAGAGGTATAATAGATTACCGGATTTGATTAGGGCAGTTCCTGAGGATAGGTTGCTGGTCGAATCGGATGTTAATTCTCCTGAAGGATTGGATGATTTGATGGAAAGGATCATTAAAATCGTCAGCGATGTTAAAGAATGGTCACTCGCATTCACTGTTGAGAAGTGTAGGGAAAATTTTTTGAGGTTTATCGGTGAATTGGAGTGATGCTTTTCATACGATTTTACATGAGGAATTCTTACTTTGAATAAATCAAAAATCATGGGTACATTAAGAACTGGATAAAAAAGAGTTCCTTGCAGTAATAATAGAATCCGAAAAGAAACTCATCATATAATCAATAAAGATTGAAATTTTTTATTACAATTTACAGATAGTAGCTTTTCTAAATTTATCTCGGATTTTGAAATAATATCTGTATATGCTATTTATTAATGAATGTTGTTAAACAGTCGGTTTGTCCACTTTATTTTTGGAACGCGATTGTACTAACCATCCATAAACAAGCAATTTCATAGAAAGCTAATCAAAACCTTCCTGGACTCGAGAATCGCTGTCCAAACTTGTAGCACTGATAATTTCATCCGCAGCTGGTATGCCTGCAATCCCAAAGCTTTTCATCCGGCATCCTGTCGACTTTAATAAGAACTATCCCAACTCATCTCCTTTTGACCGTTACCACCATTCCCATTCATCTGATCCATCATGTCCATTATGAGATTATTGTTTTGCGATGTAGACAGACATCCAGGACAATTGTGAATCACCTCATGCACGAACGCGTCGCAATCTAGACAAAAATATTGTTTGCATTTTGGACAGGTGTATACGCCACTAGATATATCTACATTTTTTGGATTGCTACTGTCCGGAAATGATTGGAAAGGCATCTGGCATGCAAAGCAACGAGATTTCATCGTACTGAAAGAAAAGAATGACTCGTCAACAATTCGAATTTTTAGAGAGTCACAAGACTGAACGTAGCAAAATAGACCGACCTGGACCGTGTCATTTCATTGTAATTTTCCACGGGAAATAGGTGATGGTATGAACGTGCCAAGTGAGGACTTGACACTAGCATAAGTTCACAGACAGGGCATTCTGTCGGCAAATCACATATTTTTGAATTGCACCGAGCGCATGAATAACCACCAGATGTGGGTTTAGAATGGCTGTGCAATCAATACTATATAGTAAGTCTGTCAGAGATCACACTTTATCCCTTTCAACTGCATATCGATATATACAAGCGGTATCATACCATGCACAAAGGGATGGAGAAGTTTCATTGACACTACTTGGAAATCCCATCATCACAAGTTCTGTGTCGTTTTTGGCAACAGAAACCGGTGGTGGAGGAATAATTTCGAAAAGTAGGTCTTTGAAATGTGCTTCATTAAGAACGACTCCATACGTTCCTAGTATAAAATTACTCTTAACCAAGATAACGAATATTAAAAATAATATATAGACTTTTTCTTTTCTTTCGCGATACCAATACCTTTTGTCTTTTTGCACATATATTTACATATCTGAACTTCGGCAGCTAATCCGACAATGGAGATACAGATATTGTCTGCCATGAGGTTTTCAATTGTATCATATATGTCACCGGGATCGCATGACGTCAGTGAGCCCATGATTATCAGAATTTCCCTTGTACCATGAGCCGGCGCATAACTTGAAAAAAAAAAAAATTTCAATAGAATTTCGATAATTCAGACAGATTTTCAAGGATCGCAATTGCAAATCGATTCTTTTCTTTATAATTACACCAATGACGAACGTGCCAGCTCCAGAGAATTCTGCAATGATGGTTCTCCATCTGCGTCAGAATTTTTTTTATTTCTCAGGGCGATCAAGTTCTCTATAGGATTACCTATGTCAATTTAAAGAAAACTAAGCCAAAAGATCTGATACTACTACTACACATAGAAATATATCATCCATTACCAGACAGCCCTGTAAGTTTTTCTGCGATGCCACCCTTTGAAACTATGATTCCAAGTTGACTGATCGGATTTTGATCAAAAAATTCCAGGACAAATTGTTCCGCATAGGTTAATGTTAAATCGAGTCGAGACGGCCGAAGATCTTTTTCCAACATGGCCTCGGACTGATCTATTATTAAAAACATGTGTCTTATAATCCCGCGTCGAATGGTTGAAGTGTCTCGAAGCAACCTTAAAGTTAATTTATGTGTAAGTTGAACTTCTTCAATCGGTAGAATGAAAATTTAATCTCTCACCTTTTCCTCTTTCGAATTTGAAGATGGTCGATGGTACGTTTTAAACTACCGTCTTCGTCCTCCTTTAGCACATCCCAACTACGCTTATACTCTTCCTCCCAGGCATATCCGGTTTGTTGATTAGCGTTTTGTGTTTCGTCGTCATCTATAAAATCCTCTTCTGATTTCGACGGTTTAGCCATAATAAAATTGGTCTCCTGCTCAAAAATTTTTCCGTCGTGATCGACGGAATCATTACTTAATATTGCTATTCAATTATGCCACGTGAGATAACCCACCATGCCTATATGAGTAAGTAAGAGCGTTACTTTAATATACTGTATACTATAATAGGTGTGGGTGTGTCGTGAACATGTTTTATTTCAACAAAGTACTCTGATCGATCTAGAATTTACTATAAATAAAAAAAATTTTTTTGAATACTAATAAATAATAAATTTATTTATTTATTATTTTTTTAATTCACTGTTAGGTTAGCTATACATTAAATAATCATATATATAGTTTTTTTCAAAAGTTTAAGTTTACTTATTATGTTTTTATTATAAATTTTAACTTTATCATTTTTTAAATCCTTAATTATATAATCAAAAAATTTATAAAATTTATATATATTATGTTTTAATACTAGCTTTGATTTTTGTATATAATTTTTAAAGTTTATTATTATTAAAAATGTTTTTCTTTATTAAATTTTTGTTTTTAAATAATTTTAATTGATCATTATTATACATTATATAACAATTAATAAAAATAAATAAATAATTTTAATAATAATAAAACTTTAAAAATTATTTAGAAAGATTTTTTTAAAAAAAAAATATAAAAAAAATAGAACAAGTATTAAAGCATGATATATAATATATAAATTTTATAATTTTTTATTATATAATTAAAAATTTAAAACACTTTTTCTGCTGATCCTCTAATCACACACAAAAAAGATGTTCGCAAGAAGTTTTAATATTTCTATGTTAATAAAGTCTTACTACTTTCTTTAAACCAACCTAAAGAGTTCTTTTAGAACTCTCTTATTATCCCCTCCCTTTTGTCTACAATCTCCTTTGAACAAACTGAACTCTTGTGGCTTGCAAAGTTCAACTCCCATCTTTACTACCTACAACAAAAAAGTTTCTAAAGAGAAAAGGACCAACAGTGAAGTACCTTCCATCTCTTAGTTATGGTAAAGATAACAGAGGTTAAAACCAGTTAAAGGACTCAATTTTTCACCCTTTGACTGATGTTGTGGCCTCTCAGAGCTATCTTTTTCATGACTTTCTGGAGAATTTTACCTATCCCAGCTTGATCCTGAAATTTAGAGTAGTACGGATCTCACCAACTCTGATTGGTCGATATGAAACACATTAGACAAGTTTGATAAACAAGCTCCTATTGGCCACCTCACATGTCTGAATGCATTTCCTTAGCTCCATAAGAACCTAGAATCCATAATAAGTCATTTTGTCTGGTGTAGATGGATATAGAACATGACACTGATACATTATTGGATATAAGAAAGAGTCAATTCGACCATGGTAAAGGTTACAAGATGCTCGATTAATCTTTTCTCAAGTCAGAGTCACCTATATCCTAATTGTATGTCAGGTAGGTTTCAATCTCTACTGCCTAGAAAGCTCAAAACAGAGAAAAAATGAAGCCATTGAGGATACTCAGTAGTAAAGATTATGCACAAAGTAATCCAGGAAGTTTTTATCCTATTTTCAAAAAATCCTGAGTTAGAAGACTGGAAGATTAATACTATTACACCAATCGAAACTCGAGTTCAAAAATATCAGCAATGACATGTGAGCTGGTTGAAATGTCTGGAAGATCCTTATTAATTGTTAGTACCAACGGTCACCAGCAGGGTATGTCGACCGCAAGGTTAGGTGTTATCCTTCATATAAGGAATTAAATCTGAAATAAGATGTACAGATGGGTAAGTATACCCATATTTAGGTAGGAATGGGTTTAATTGATGATATACTGGAAGACTTTCAAGTCGATTATGTAGACACCAATATATCATCTGGGTCTTCTTGGTTACTCCCTTCCTATAAGCCTTAAAACTGTACAGTCTCTTCTTTGATCTCCACCTTATTTCTGTAAAAGACTTAGTAGAAGTCTTCCCCTAGACCTTTCTACGAGGAAAATTTGAACAAGACAAGTATATATTAAGAAACAAGACCGATATATTTCACATGACTGTCCATTTTTCTTTTATTTCTTTTATTTTCATTTATAACACCAGCACGCTCTAGGGATGTTGGTTTTTCTTTGGAAAAAGAAAGAGCAATAAGCCTCAAAATAGCTTTAGAATAACTTTAGCTTATCGTTATCTTTATCTTTCCCAAATATATATCCACATATTCGCATTTTGTGCAATGTAAATTTGTAATTTGGGATTCAATAAAGTTAGACATAAGCCCATTAAAAAAAAATAAATAAATAAATAAAAATAAAAATTTAAAATAAAAATATAGTAAATAAACTCAAACTTTTGAAAATTGTAAAGT